AAATTTCGTGTGTCAATATATTAACACTTTATACACTCAGATTGCATCGAAAGTATTTGAAATAAATACAGAATTTTCATGCAAGGGTGTTGTATGAAACATTTTTGAAAATTAACATCACACTGTGTCATGATTACATTGGTGGTAAAATTATATTTAGTAGAGAATTAATAAATACTCATGTAACAATTGTTGAACATCTCGTTGAACATTGAAGATTGTTAACACAATTGTGGCTGTTTAAATAGTTTTTAGAATGCCTGCAGAAGAAGATACGTTTCAATTAAATAAACTTGTAATTTCTACGCGCGTTTTTTCAGATTTATTTTCAAGCTAGATCGACGAATGTGAAATTTTATGAAATGTGAATTGCGACTCATGAATGTCGAATGAAATGAAATGGAATGAAAAAAAAAAAAAAAAAAAAAAATATGAAACGTGATTCATGAATATGAAAATCGTGTCTCAGTGATATTGTAACATGTTTTATATGACACGCATAATATACACGTAAAGTTTTTTTTTTTTTATTTCGCGAGCTGTTGCAGACTTTCCTAACTGTATCACGCATGAATTTAAAATTTGTTGTCAGAGGAATTCATAGATATTCGTATATTTATTTTCTATCGTATATATATCACGATTATGACAGAAATTTAGAGAAAGATTATTGATTGACTCGTTCAATTGTCATTTGGAGAAAGACTCACTTTTTCTTTTTTATTCTGCGGGAAAAAGACCGGTTCACCTCGCGCTCGAAATAAGATTCGTTCGTTTATCGCCTGAAAGAAGATTACTCTTTTTTAAGCAGATTAAAGTCAGCAAAGCTGGGATAAATACAGCTTTAAAAATTTTAAGAGGCGAGAATTTTAAAGGACTGAGTATTAAAGTTATATAATTAAAGTAATTTGTTTTGTTGAAATATTTTCGTCTTGCACCTCTTCACTTTCAGACGTATCTTTTACTTTTCAACTCTTCCGTGGATTCATTTACAAGCTTTCGAACACGAGTTGATTAAGGATAATTAACGCAATGGAGTAATTTTTAGAATAACTTTCATCTCTCATATATGTTTGAAAGTAGATTTTTTTTGTTATAACCATTTGTCTCTTGAACAAACGATCAAGAAAATGATAATGGCATTGCTGGTCCACGAAAATTTTATGCTCACCACAAAATAACAACTAAACTATTTTAATCCGCAAAATTTCATTTATAATTGATTTACATTGTCGAATGCTGTTTGTTAAACATTTTACGAATCGCGAGAGTTTTTCCTTTGGCTTGAAATTTTAGGAAATTTAAGGAAATTGATGATCTCACGACAAATCATTGCTCCTCGGTCCTTCGTGAATCAAATTGAATGGGGATGAAGAAGAGGGAAAAAGAACAAAGACGAAAAAAATGGCGTGAAAAAAAAAAAGATAAAACCGGATATTTCGAGAGTCGGAACAGTTTCTCGTTCCGAAGAATATAAACGAAAAAGTTTACGTTCCTCTATTAACTTCCATGAATTTCCCCGTACGTGGAATTGAGTTTCACTAATTTGAGATGGAACGCATACCAGCGAATACTGAATATTGCTACTTCAGTGCGGTATAGCAGCCAGGGGTTTCCGTTGTGTTATCCGAATAATGATTTCATTACGTGTATTATCACATTTATTGCCACGATTCGAATATATGTAGAGAAATTAGATATCGAGTTTCTATTAAAATTTTTCGGCGAAAAGACTCAGCTTACAAGATATATTTGAAGCGGAATGCAAGTGAAGAATTTTATTTCATCTTCCAATGAATAATGTGGTAAATATTGCATAACTATAGCAAAATGTTTCATATATTATTTTATGTTATATTTCTTACTGAATACACTGTATCTCATAAATGCACAAAGATCTGCAATCTATTAATCACTGTCAGCTGATTTGAAAGAACTGGCCATTCTTATGAATTGTTAACAAAATTCATAAAATATGTAGAAATACAGAAATAGTGTTTCGGGTAATTTCACTGTATCGATATGTTAACTTGCCTTAGTTCCTCCCAAGAGAAGAGAAACGTTCTAAAAGGAAATTGGAAACAATTATTCTGCAAGTTTGATTAAACGAAATAAATTTTCTGCGATGAAGCGGAGAACCAAGTTTAATAGTATGCAATATAGTCAGTAGCAAGAGTCAGTATCCTGACTGGTTGTCGCATAGCAAGTTCAGCTATGCGCATATGTATGCATACATGCGTTCGATATCTGCATTCGTACATCCACTAAGTTTCTGTGTATTAAATACAGAGATCTAATCTCAGTACACAGTACTAACACCAATAGCGATTTCTTTGCATAGATTATGTATGAAAAATTAATATATTTGTCGTTGTACAGTATAGACAAAAATTAACATTTACTGAGATGTTAAACTAACAAGCAAGGTTTGGCAACCCGGAAATTCAGAAAAATTCGAAATTTTTCACGAATTCTAGTTCACGTGATGTTAACAACGGAACAATTTTTTTTTTCTTGCTAAAAAATGATCCTCAGGGTGGAAACACCCCCTCCGTTTCGAAAACAGATTATAAGTATAAAATATTTGAAGCAAAAGAATATGAGTCAAAGTTCGTTGTTTAAAAAAAAAAAAAAA